CATACCAAATTTCAGCTAAGAATTCAACTGGGAAGTCATTCAAATGAATTCTTGAAAATAGTTGCGCAGTTAAAAGCGCAATTATCTTCAAGAATTCATTTGAATGACTTCCCGATTGAAGTTTTAGCTGAAATTTGGTATGAGAAAACTAGACTTAATGAATAAGATTCTCAAAAAATTTCATCAAAAAATTCCACCGGGAACCGCCTCAAATGGGGATAGCCGGACAGTAAGGACTTATTTAACATTTTTATACAACTTTGAGTACCAATGTGACACTTACCTCGTGTTGAAAGGAAGATGGATTAATTTATAGAGAGGAATGCTCCTCACTCACCGCTGTGGGAAACCCAAACGGTCAAACACGGGTGATTTGGTGTGAACTGTGAAGTAAGGCACTAAGGCCAAAACAGTACGTCAATTAATTCAGCTCAAATCTTTAATTATTTTGAAACAATCATGTGAAAGTTTGAAATTATGGAAAATTTAAACCTTATATATATTAAACATAATTACGTAATACGAAGTATATATTATTTAAGCAGCAGTCAGTCCATGCAATTTTCGACGCAATTTTCACCAGGGATCATCCGGAAATACTCTCCATGTGCTTTAATACAGGGGTAAGAGTGTAAGGCTGCATACATCATACCCCCTTAATCCACCATAGGTGGCAGTCTTTGCGCCACTGAGATAATGATAATGATGTAGTATACACTATATACTATCTATATTATAAGCTTAACCTAACCTAAACATCTACTCTCTACTACCTAGTATGTATTATTATTTTTAATAATGTCATTAATGTTATTATATTTTTATTATAATTATTGTACTCTATTGTTATCATTATCAACATCGTCACTGTTACCATTTATATTAAAGGTTTTTCTAAAATATTACTATAATAAAATTTATGGAAAAAGAATGTGCCTAAAATGACGGTAAGTATATATCTTTATAGTCATTGCAATGTAAAGTGTGAATATAGTCATAGTCATTAAAAATTATTAAGTAACATTTTGTTTATTGTCCTTACTTTAGTTATACATTAGATATTATTTATTTTTATTTAAATTTTTTCATTTAACTACTTTTTTCAATAATAGTTTTTGAGTAATTGGTAAATTTATACGGAGTATTTGTTGCATTTAGGATTCAACAGTTTTTTTTTGAAAATTAGAAAAGCATGATGTTTTTGAATAACATTATTTAATAAATAATTAAATATTTAGAACTAGCTCTAGGGAAATTAAAATAATTGATAAAAAATAAAATACCTTTTCACGCCTAAAATCCGCCTTAGCCCGTCTAGGCTTCAATTCAAAGGATTAAGGCTTGGTCGTGCCGTCTCGGCTCGCCTTACGCCTTTAAGAATATCGGTGGTAGGTGACTACATTACAATATATTATCATGATAATGTATTATAAAGAAGAAAAAAGGAAAAAAAAAAAAGGAAAAAAGAATAAGGAAAGGGAAAAAGGAAAAGAAGAAAAAAGATAAAAAGAAAAAAAATTAGAAAAAAAGAAAAGAAAAATGCATTATTAATATTTTTTAAATATAAAATTTATTAGGAGTTATTAAATAAAAATTACTATTGTATGATTATAACTAGTAGCTAACTCTGAATATGGAATATTTGAATTAAACCCGTTACGTATTGAGTTAGGGTCTGGAACATGAAATAAGCTGACGGGTCTAGGTCTAGAACATTGTGTTCTAACTCGAACACAACACATTAACATGTCTACATAGAGATAAAGTTAATTTTTATTAAAGAACCAAAAGTGAAAATTAAAAAAACAAACATTAAACTTGAACTCCCGACGTGAATCGCACATCTAGACAGGACTTGGGCCCGTTGAGTCTGGATTTGTAAGATATATAGTCTAAACTCGTAAGATATTGGGTCCACCTTTGAGCATGAAATAAGATCGGGGAATTCTAAATGCAGTCCATATTTTACTAAACACAGCCCCTAATTAAAATTAATTAATTATATACTAAGTATAAATTAAATAGGGGGTTAAGTCATGAATAATACTAACTAAAACCATTTGGACAAATATAAGACCTCTATTAAAACTTACCAAGAAAGTGATCATGTGTGTGCATTTATTAAAAACTTAAGATCAATATGCCTAATATACCCCTGCTAGTCAACCGGCGGTACACTAAATACGAAGCATCGATCATCTCTCCCTGCATGTGTTCGGTGTTCCAGACTATGATTATAAATTTTTTATATTATTCCTCAATTATAATTAAAAGATGACCATTTACAATTACTTAATTATTTATTTATTTAATCTGATAAATTACAATTACACATCCAACAAGTTACAATTATTCGTCTATTCGTCTATTCATCCAATCAATTACATTTACCCGATCTGACCAGTTACAATTATCTGTTTCGACCAGTTACAATGACCCACTTCGATCAATTATAGTTACCCGATTCAACCAATTACAGTTATCTGATTCGATCAGTTACAATGACCCACTTCGATCAATTGGAGTTACCCGATTCAACCAGTTACAATTACTCGATCCGACCAGTTACCCGCCCCGACCAATTACAGTTCCCCGAATTGACCAGTTACAGTTACTCAACCATCCAATTACATTTACCTGATCCGTCTAGTTACAATTACTCGATTCATCCAATTACAATTAACTGATTCATCCAGTTACAATTTTCCGACCCGTCCAGTTACCATTACATCGATCCGTCTAGTAACAGTTACCCGATCGTGCAGTTACAGTTATCCGATTCGTCAGTTACCATTATCTAACTCGTCCATTTAGTTACCTGAATTTACCCGGTACAATTTCCGGATACAATAATGACCAACTCCGAAAACCACCATCGTTGGCCGCCATCCCGGGCCCCCAAACCCACCGCTGGAAACCACCCCCGTCCACCCCCGTTGGCCGTTGGCCCCCAACTCGACTACCAACGTTGGCCGCTGGCCCCAACTCTACTACCACCGCTAGAAACCACCACCATCCACCACCGCTGGCTGTTGGCCCCCCAACTCGACTACCAACGCTGGCCGCCAACTCTACTACCACCGCTGAAAACCACCACCGTCCACCACCGCGGGATGCTATCACCGTCGCCGCCCATCACCCACCACCTCTGAAGCCCCCCAAACCCCAGACCCCTTCTCAGCCCCAAGCTCTGTCCCGCCAGCCCACCCCAACCCTCCATCCAACCTCACCAGCCCACCCTAGCCTCCCCAATCCTTGCACCGCCCCCATCTCCCACACCATCGCTGCCGACACCCTTCAACCTCCTCCCCAGCCCGGCCCTCACATCATCAGAAGAAACATGTAACACTACCTGCAATGGACCTAGATCTAAAAATTTCTTGTCGGCGTCGCTTAATTAACCCTAGATGCGAAGGTGACGATTCGTTATCGGAGAAGAAGAAGAAGAAGATATAGGTGGAAGAAGATGATTCGAAATCTAAAACTTGAGATGTCGTTGTTGTGAATCTCGCCGTCATTGTCGAAGCTTCGCCCGTCGCACGTCATCACACTCTGTCCGTCGCACGCCGTCACACTCCGTCCGTCGCACCTCATTCGCTTCACGCTGTTCGTCGCACGCCGTTCGTCGCACGTCGTCTGGTTCCATGGTTTCAGCCCCTACATCTTTGCGGCGAAGAAGGCACGAGAGATTTAGATGCGATTATGTGAACCGACGAAGAAGAAAGGAGACGGGAAGTTAAGAAAAGCAGGGGTATTTTTGAAACTTCATAATATTTTAGTATGTTTTCTGTCCTACACGAATATGGTCCTATTTTTGTAAAATTAAAAGTCGGAAATCGTAGATTTGTCATTATTTCAATTAAATACCTATAATATCCCTGTTTAATTGTTTATCTGAACCGCATCCGCAATCACCTTCGTTCCCCACGAACTTTTAATTACCTTCGTTCCCCACGAACTTTTAATTGTTTCTGCTGAGGGATGGGTTTCACGTTTGATCAGATTATCACGCAGGTAGTACTGCTACTCCCGTAGATACTCAATCTCAGCCACCTGTGTTTTTAAGACTTCGAGTTTTTCTTCTTGGTTTCATTCAAATGAAAAGTCTTGATGCAGGGGTGGAGAAGGGGAGGCTGGCGGAGGCCTTGACCCGTACAAGAAAAAGATTGTGATGTATATACATATGCATAAATATTTATAAGTAGTAAAAAATATAGTAAAATTTAAGCTTTGGCCCGCCTATAAAAATTTCTTAAGCCCCGGCTCCTATAACCTGACATTTCTGACTCCGCCACTGTTCAAATGGTTTGCAGTAAAAAAACTCAATACGGAGTACTTAAGAAACAAGAGAAGAAATTCCACCGATGCTGTGGGTGGACATTGATTTTACCTCAATTTTTTTGTTACTGACTAAAATACTACCATACCCACCCACCCATCCATGGATTTCATTGCCCCAGTTCACCATAATCTTGATTACAAGATGTACAACCAGACCGGGCCCGCCAATTCCCTGACAACCGTGGAAGGAGAGACATGGATAATAGAACCAGACCGTCTTTACCTGCTCAGAGCTGCATCGGAAATGAGCCTTACAGCAACAGACTCAAGTTGAGACAATAGGGATATAATACGGAGTAGATATTTTATTAATATTCAATTAATTAATTTTAATTAGGGGGTGTGTTTAGTAAAATAGGGTCTGCATTTAGAATTTCTCATACCAGACCAAACCAGACTTCCGTAGTTATAAAATACACAGAGATCAGACGTTTACCAGATCAGACTAGACCAGATTCAGACCAGACCAGATCAACAAATTTCAGTCCAAAAGAAAACAAACATCCTTAGACTCATAAATGCGATTATTTATTTTATATTCGTGACTAAACGGGTCTTCATAATGTGTCTAATAGTCCATGAGGTTCGGGTCCAGGCATAGTGTTCGACTCGTAGATGCGATTATTTATTTCAGGAAAAACTGTCAAATAAGCTCTCGAAGTATATCAAAAAAGTCAATTAAGCCCTCCAACTAAATAAACATTCAATTAAGTCCATCAATAAGGTAGATTCTACGGTACCCCAAATGTACCGTACCTTTGTCCAAATGGACCAATAAGAATGATGCAGTTGAATTATTTAAATCTAAATTAAAAAGCATATAATGATTTGGACCAATCAAATGCATGGTAGGTACGGTACCCCATTTTTTAAATGGGTACCGGAGTTGTCACATTTTTTCTTTTCTTTTCCGTCTCTTTCTTCTGGCCCACCTCTTCCCTTCTCCCTCTACGTACTTTCGTTCTCCCGACTTCTTCCCGATGCATCCATCCAGACCTTCTTCTCCCTTCTTTCTTATTCCGCCCCAAACTGCCGTCATTTCTATTCTTCTTCCGATCGAGCAACATGGATGATAAAGGGAATGTAAAACCGGAGATGGCGAAGAGGGAAGTTTGGGCGGCATCATGGCGGGGTTCTTCAGCTTCCTCCGGCAACGTTGTTGCCGGCTTTCATCTCCAGCACAGTTGGTGACTACGTGATATCTTTCTCGACTGTAAAGCTTGGAGCACTTTCTCTCCATGAGTTGACCCAATTTTGAGCTTCATTGGCTCCGGCGGCGGATAAGAAGTTCTCCGACGACCGAAATTAGAAGAAGAGAGAAGGGACATGGGAGAGTGGAGCGGGCTGAAGAAGAGAAGATAAAATGAGGGGGGAGGGGGGGGGGCGAACTGAAGAAGAAGGGGGGAAGGTGGGGCGGGGTGGGCTGAAGAAGATGAAGAAAGATTAAAGAGGACGTGGATGGGTGAGTTTGGCTGAAGAAGAAAGAAGGGGAGTGAGTTTGTTGTGGTGAAGAAGAAAGAACCAGGGAAAAAGGAAAGGAAGAATGAAAAAAAGAAAAAAAACGTAAAAACGTAAAAAAAAAATGCTAGCTGGACTGACATATAAGCAAGGTCACCTGCTAACCTAAAACCAACCGGCTAGATTACAAATTTGATCATTTTTGTATAGTTCCTGGACTTAATTGGGTGTTTATTTAGTTGGAGGGCTTAATTGACTTTTCAGTATACTTCGAGTGCCTATTTAACTGTTTTCCCTTTATTTTATATTGGTGAGTGAACAAGTCTTCACAATGTGTCTAATAGCCCATCTTACATTTATCCACTTTTTAGCAAAAGAATAAGGTAAAACTGTAACTATTACTCCCTTCCTATTTTAAAATTTAAAAGTTTATTATACTTTCCACTTTAATATGTTTTGATGGACAGTCTATCCGGGGGGTATCTTATCCGAGGGGTTATTGCGGGAATAACTAGAGAGAAGTCAGAGCAAATAGGAGGAGAGAGAGTCGATTTTATTAAATGAACTCGAGATGTGGAGTTGGAGATCGTTTACAAGGAGAAATGGGCTGCTATTTATAGCAGCAATAAATGCAATGAGAGTACACGTGTCAACAATCCAACGGCCGAGGGGTCACATCACTCGGGTGGCGCTGGCAGTGGCATGTTCACCGCATTGAATGCGGTTGGCGGACGTGACGTTGCATTAAATGCGGTGGTTGGCTGTCTCCAAAGGGAATCTTCGATGATTGAGCATGTTTGGCCGAAGGCCCCTCTAGTAGCCGAGGGCTCCATGTGACCGAAGGCTTGGTTCAGCCGGAGGCTTCCCCGATACCGAGGGCTTGATAAAGCCGAAGGCTCCTGTTTTCCGCCGTTTCTCTCCCAGTAGCTTCGTATGCCTAAAAAGGCTATCCTGTTAGTTCTGGAGCCCTCGGCCAAGGAGGCCGAAGGCACCCTAGTGTGTGTTCTGGGCTTCTTTGAGACTTGGGCCGCATTATTTGGGCCTTCGATGCACCTTGGGCTTAATGGGCCTTCGTGGGAGAAGTAGGAGTCTATGGGCCGGGGTTCTTGGGCCATATACTCCATCAGGAGTCCCTCACTCCTTTTGCCGAAAGGTACTTGAGGGAAAAGGAGTAGTTGTGTTGATTCTTCCGGAGGCTTCATCGTTTCGTTGGGCGCCTTTGCTTGAGAACTTGTCTTCTGCTGTTTGCCGAAGGCTTCCCTCATTCCCCCACATGTCGAGGGTTTTCTGAGGAAAGTATAACACCTGTATATTTGCTGAAAGCGTCCCTCAGTCCCTCACATGTCGAGGGTTTTCTGAGGGAAGTGTAAACAATATCTGTATGTGTTATGGCGAGGGCCGCTCCATCATTGTTGAGGATTTTTTCTGAAATTCTGCCTTGCCGAAGGGTGTGATGATGCAAATACCGAGGGCTTCATGCGTCAATTTGTGGATTTTTCATATGCGGGAATTTCCCCTTCTGTTATGTGTGATTCCCGAGGGGTGTATCCCGGGGAGTGCCTCACTCCTTTTGCCGAAAGGTACTTGAGGGAAAAGGAGTAGTTGCGTCTTCGTGTAACTCCGAGGGATGCTACTGACGGGGGAGCGGCAACATTGATCAGCCGGAGGCTTATTCTGCTGCTGGCTCGAAAGCACCTGGTGAGAGTTGTTCACCGGAGGCTCCAAGTATATCCCGATTGGTGGTAACATTGATAAGCCGAAGGCTCCTGTTTTCCGCTGTTTCTCTCCCAGTAGCTTCGTATGCCTAAAAAGGCTATCCTGTTAGTTCTGGAGCCCTCGGCCAAGGAGGCCGAAGGCACCCCAGTGTGTGTTCTGGGCTTCTTTGAGACTTGGGCCGCGTTATTTGGGCCTCCGATGCACCTTGGGCTTAATGGGCCTTCGTGGGAGAAGTAGGAGTCTATGAGCCGGGGTTCTTGGGCCATATACTCCATCATGTTTTTCCTTAAAATTAATGAATTACCCTTACGTTTTTTTTTATCTTTCATACTTGTACACTCTTTCTCGGTTTCTCCTACTTTTGCTACATTAATCCTTACCTCTATTACTTTGATTCTTAGAAAATGTGTCGAAACCATATATTTTTTAAGAGCAAAAAAGGCTAACTTATAGATAATTTAAGGAATTTCAGGTTCTTATCTATAATAATATAAAGGAATAAGGTTTGAGACCTCTTAAGTTGCAATTCCCGCCCAACTAAAGTGTGTATTTATTGGCATTCGTAAGTTACTTCATAGAAGCTATTTTTGGACATGTAATATGGGCTGAAATTTAATTCTTTGTAAGAGTAACACGTGTGGAATACATGGTAATACGTGCACATGTAATAATTATATAAATAACCAGGCAAGACCCAAGCCCAGCTGGTAACTAATACGTGCACATTAAAATATTGTAGGAATATAAAAATATTACAGAAAAATAGTGTGTGAATATGAAATGCAATACAATTATTTTATTTAGATTACTATTTTTTTGAGAAAAATTTGCAAAATTGCAATGAATTGTATTTTTTATGAATTGAAAAGGAATAAAAAAATTGAATTGTAATTTTTGTTGAAAATAAAGAAATGCAAAATTGCAATGAAATTTTTTAATTGTTTGTGGGAGAAGGAGAAAAGAATTGAAGAAAAGATAAATGAAAATATTTTGACGAGGTCAATGAAAAAGAAAAATGATAGACTGCAAGGAAGAAAAGAAGAAAGTGCAGATATGCAATAGTGAGATCAGTATACCGTGCACACGGTGTAATGATCTCACATTATAGTTTCCGGTAAAAAAAATACTCACTTTTGGACGTTAAAATAACATACTCTCCATTATCTAAAACAATGTACGGACCAATCTACTTTGTAATAACAATAATATATTAATAGTAGTTATAATAGTAATAATAATAATAATAATAATAGTTTATATTTGACGAGATTTCAACCATACACATTTGAAATTTTCGCTTTTTATTGACTTGAGGAGACAAGGCTTTTTAAAAACTATTACTGAATTAAAATTTATTTATAAAAAGTATAACTAAAGTTATGATAAGTGTAGTATTATGGTAACTTAGGATGTTTTTACTTGGACTGTAATTTGTCCCAGACCAGACTTGGATAGTTATAAAAATACAAAGAGCCCAGACATTACCAGATCAGACCAGACCAGTTCAGACAAGACCTGATCAGACCAGACCAGCAAATTACGGTCCAAGTAAAAACATCCTTATTAACTTAAGAATAAACATTGAGCATAAGTTAATGATGGAGTTATGCGACTAGGTCCAAAGCCCAATCGGCCGAGACTCCGAACTTGGACCCGTGAGTCCAGGCCCACGACCTGAACCAGCAAGCTCAAACCCAAGTCCATTATCTCACCAAGACAACCCGACCAGTGGGCCCAAGAACCCAGAGCTCAAGCCAGCCCAACCGATCAAGCCTATCAAGGAAAGGAGGTCCAACGGAGCAGAAGTTCAAGACGGACTGCCAGCTGACAACCTAATGGGAGGCATGCATTCTAGCCCACCCGGAGGCTTGCCTTCCAGTCCATCGAGGAGCCTGCCTCCCAGCCCAACGGGAAGCCTGCCTCCCAGCCTAGCGGGAAGCCTGCCTCCCAGCCCAGCGGGAAGCCTTCCTTCCAGCCTAGCGGGGAGCCCGCCTTCTGGCCCAATCAGGGGCCTGCCATTAAGCCCAACTGGGAGGCTGCCTACAAGCCCATTCGGGAGCCTGCCCACTAGCTCGACGGAGAGGGATTTTAAGCGTCAGCCAGCAACTCAGACCGACTTGGCAACCAGGAAAACTAATGGTCAAGCAATTAATGCATTGTTTAATTATGATTTTAATTCCTTATTAAAGTTGTAATTAATTAGTCACTATTGCGCATGACAGTTTCCATTTACAAACGCCAATAAAATGCAAGTTGTAATAAAAATTGTGGATATGCTATTTCTGACGACTAATTCCCTTAGCACTTTCTATTTTTCGTACTTTATATTTTCTAATAGGTGTTTTGTCATAGCTTTCCCGAAAAGTCTACGAGCATCCATTTTTGGACCAACAATTAATATGACTAAAAATAATCTGACTTAAAAGCCACATATCTAATGACAATTTTTTTTAGTACAAGGTGAACCCAATTTCACCAAACTTATCATGCGGTGTCAAGAATTTATAATAAACTTTTGAGAGATTTAATCCGAATTGTTCGAACTATTCATTAGGTTTCTAATGACATTGTTAAAAATATAAATTATTTATCCCGTGCAACGCACGGGTAAAGAATCTAGTAAGAATATAAAAGAGGCTAAATTTTATTTGGGAAACATAAAAAAGGCCAATATATAGAAAAATATTTCAAACAATATGTGAACCCGACGTGAATCGAACACGCAACCTTCTGATCTGGAGTCAGACGCGCTACCATTGCGCCACGGATCCTATGTTGCTTGATGTGTAGATAAAACTATAAATATCTACGTAAAACAAAACATTCCTTCACAAAATTTAATTGGGCGTCAGTACCTTATCCAAATTTCAATCGACTTGTTCTGCGGAAAAATGTTGAAAATGGCTTCTCCTTCGCATTTGTTCTCCGTTACCTCTGATTGGCAGTTTCTGCAGCAATATCTATGGGGTTCGAAGCACAGGGCTTTTCCATCGACTGTGTTCCTCATTAATAAGGATTTACCGTTGAACGCTCCCAAGCTCCGGTTAAAAGCAGTTGATGGCTTCTCCGGTGATGGCCTCCTGGACGGAAACACTCTTTCCAAGGTACAAGCACCCCCCCCCCCCCCCAGTTTTTTTGTTCAGTTCCGCCATTACCAACACTGCTTCACCTTAACTCAGACATATGTTGCATTAGTGAAGCGCTTACTACTTTAGTGTGATTAGTACTCTTTAGTGGAGGACTAATCACATGAAGTTTGAATATCTTGTAGTTTTAACACATTTTCCCTCATGTTTTGGAGGGCTGATTTTAACTATGTGCTTGCTTTTGGAGTAGTTTATGTTTAATATATCTGAGCTGGAAGAAATACTGAGTAGTTTTTGATAAACATTAGGGTGTCCTGAGCTTCATGGTGCTCTAGGGGTTGTTTAGAGATCCACCATTGTGAATTGTAAGGGCAGTAAGATTAGGTTTTCAAATTGCCTCTTTGGTTTCCCCATTACCTAATTTTTGCTGTTATATATAATAACATGTAAAGTTACAAGGTTGATTTTTAAAAATGACTAAAATCAGCCTCCACATCATGGAACACTACCCTCTTCAAGCAAATTCTATGTCAAGTAAATTAGGGTTGTACATTTTGGTTTGGATTCCAGTTTTATTAGTTTTCGGTTCAGTTCCATTTGAATCAGATATGAAGAATGATTATCAAATAAAAATCATAACCCGCATTATGCTTTGGTTTAGATTTGTTATTTTTATAAAAATATTAATATTTTATTGAATATTATAAATTTAGAATTAGGTTTAGAAAAATTATCATGAAACTCGGAATGACCAAGCATGCAAAACTCTATGAGATGATTTTATTGAATGTATTTCTCTTCAACTACTTTTTTCATCTTCATCTTTGTCTGAGAAACTCTTTGGTGCACACATATTACCCATTCTCGGTTGCGTATGCTTAGGCAAAAAGAAAACTGACATTGTGTTTGGATTTATAGGCCACCCACAATAATCAAGAAACTAAAACAAAGAGCATCGTGTGTGCAGATTGTGATGGAAATGGTGAGTGGGTTGGCTGCATTTTTCGTGGCTTGGAATTGAACTCAGTAGATTAGATCCCGCCACTCTTTTTCGTATTCGTCTGATGTAGTTCAAGTTTCCATGAAGTCATATATCTCATATATGAATAATTTTCGGCATATGAATTTGGTGAATAATGACAAAATTACAACAAAACAACGTCCAATCCTTATTCCCAAAAGATTTTGAGAAATAATGACATAATTCATCATCATTATCCCAGTGCTGCAAAGGCTCCCACCTACGGTGCGGTAAGGAGGTCAGATGTATGAAGCCTTACCCCTGTACTAAAGCACACAGAGATTGTTTCCGGATGACCCATAGTGAAAATCGCATCGAAAATTGCATGGACTGACTGCTGCTTCATAACAAAGAAGCGCATACAGTTTAGTGAGACATTTTGCTTTATTCCATCATATTTTATTAATAAAATATTTTTTATAAGTTAAAAATATATTATTATAACTAAAATGAAGAACAAAATATATGTAAATTATTTTCTATGCGAGTTTAACCAGAAAAGTATGCCTCGCTTATGTACTATAGCTATTACATAATAAAAGTTCAGCGTTTGGTAAAACTATTAAGGATGAGCCAAAAAATGGGTTACCAAAACAACGTGCAATTAAAAGTTCAGCGTTTGGTAAAAAATCAAGGATGAGCTATTTGTGCATTTTGTCTAAGTTTTAGTCCTATTTAGAGCAATTTTTACTATTAAAAGTGTATGTTGTATGCTACTGATGAATTGGCAGGGGCAATATTGTGTTCACAATGCAAAGGGAGTAGTTTGAACTCGGTCGACCATTTCAATGGGCAGTTCAAAGCTGGTCAACTGTGCTGGCTTTGCCGGTAAGGCACCGTCTTATGACTCAAGATGCTAGGCTGCTCCCACAGACACACGTTTATTGGTGTTTTTTCTCTTCTTATTTATGGTGCGATAAAGTGGAAACAATAATGGATTGCCATTGCCATTGTCATTGTCATTGCCATGTGAGTTTTGAGATTTGTTTTTAATTCCTTGCAGAGGTAAGAAGGAGATTCTATGCGGCAACTGCAACGGATCTGGCTTTATCGGTGGATATATGAGCACATTTGATGAATGAATGGAAATTAAGTTTGGCATGGCTAGATATATATAGAGTGCTCTGTGTACAGCCAAACATGCCAATATTGTTTGAACCACAAATATAATGCAGTGGATGGCTGGTGCGCGTGTGCTGGAGAAATTAAGTCTGGCTCGTCATTCGTTCATTTTGAAATGATTAATGAATGAATTGTATGTGGCCATGTGGGGATGGATTATTCCCTTGCACATTCAGTACTATATATTCCCCCCCTTAAGACGTGCAAATGCAAACTCATTTCCTTATTAACACTCCGTACTATAAAAATAAGGATACATAATGACTGTAGCAGAGAAAGAAGTGTGAAAATTTATCATTGCATGTCCTTTAATAGCAGTAGGAAGACAACACATACTCAAATGTGTTTTCACGTTCTTAGTTTCCCTAATTACTATGCATGCTCATGGTATCATTATTGTGAAAATATACTAGTCCTCAGCTCTCTTTGTTCTCTCCTTCATTTCAAGCCACAGTAGACACACTGTTACACTCATTAAAACCATACCACACTCCGCGGGGCACAAATCGGTTGTATTTAAAGGTAATAGACCTGTGCTTCGGACTGGATACCGTGACAGTCTCAGGTTTCCAGCCGTCCGTTCCATCCCGGTACAGATAGAGATAGCAGATGTCATACATGCAAGGTCCCTCTATCTCGAATGTGTCCTTTGAGCATCTCTCGAATGTCTTAGACTGTGGATCATCCAGTCTTGGTGCATACACCTGCACCCGTCCACATTTTGTATGCACGTTTAACAACGGTAATTAGCTAGACGCCTAGACCCGTACGTTAGTTAATGATAAATAAATCATTACATGCACACTGTACTAATTTATAATGATAATAATAATAATAAAGGATAAAAACCAACATATAAATAAATCTCTGGATTGGTGTATATCTATATACGGAGTATAATCTGCAGATTAATTGGTTTCATGTTTAGGATTGACCAATTGAATGAATGAATAATGGAGAAGGTAGCAGGTAGACTTGGATCATCACCTCAATGCTGTAAGCATCACCAAATGAAAGGCTGATTTTATCTCTGGTGTACTTGACTGAGGAACAACTTGTTTTTATACTCACTGTGTATGAACATTTGCTCGCCCCAATCTGAAATTCATTCATTTCAACAAAAACATCAAAACCAAATTGAATTTCTAGTAGCACCCTCTTCTCCCGTTCTTCTCGATTTCTTATTTTCTTACCTGCTGTTGCTGGTGGTTGGCATTGGTATGGAAAGACGTGTCAATGTGAGGCTCTGTTGAAACATCTCTTGAAGCTGCTTCTTTAGATGTGGCCAAGAAGATGGCAATGAAGAGAGCAAGGATATATACTACTTTTTCACTCATGTTTTCCTACTTCAAATCTTTCTCTCTTCGATCAATTGGCTGATGTAGTGTGGTATTTAAAGTTGAGTGCCCCAACTCTTAGAGCAATTATTATTAAATAATCACGGAGTAGGTATTAGCGGGTCGTAGTTATTTAATTTATATAATGCAACATTAGGCTGATTGCAATCCCGGAGTGAAAAAGCTATTTTTGACCTTTTCACCCAAAAAACAGCTACACCCCATAGTATACCAAGGAGCTAAAGTGGATTGAGAGCCCACGTTGAGTGGAAATGTAGAGCCTTATTCACGGAATAAATGACCAAGCAGTTAGATCTAAAGCTTGTTGAGTGTATGGAAATGAATTCATGGATCCATGTTAAATTATATCCCAATTTTATTTGCATTCCAATTTTTACAAAAAATATATCAAAATTCATAACTTTTTATTTTCTTTCATTTGACATGAATATTGAATATATAAAGTTGAAAAAAAATATATTAAATTCCAATTGCTAGAGATTTTTATACCTAATTTTTTCTTAAATAGATTCTAAGTGTTCAAATTAAGATCTCAAGGTTAAACTATATTTTTATATCATTCAATTATTTTTCTTTAAAAAATAGGTCTGAAATAATCATTAAAAGTTTACTTTCCAAATTTATTTATTTTTTACATCGTAATGTTTGATTTTTTCAAATCACAATTATTCACAACAAAATATTGCAACAACTATTGATTTATAACAATAAAACTAAAATTTTAATTTTAAAAAACTTTGTTGTGTGAATATATTGACAGTGCTGGATTGCAGCAAAAATTGAATTGACTGAATGGATACGTATAAAGTGGGGTTAAAGTAGGATTAAAGTATACTCTATTTTCCTATTATAGCCCTACCCTAACTTAATAAAGTAACCATATTTCAATTTATTATAAAAACAAAATAAAAATTGTATTTAAATTTAAGAAAAATCTATTTTTTAAATCTATAGTGGTTTTGTAGGACGAATTTAAATCTATTTAGGATTATTTTCTCATATATTTAAGTCAAAACCACTACATAAATTAGATTTGTATGAATTAATTAATAAAATTTGATCAATGACCAGATCAGAGCCCGTATATAGCATAGTAGCATACGTCTTGCGAGTAGATTTTATTTTTGAAGGTACGAGTACTAGATAATAATTTAAAAAGGTTTTGTTTTTAAATTAATTTTGTGTGGGCCATATTACCACCCTAAAAGCTTAAAAAAGAAAAAAAATTACTACGGAACTTTAAAAAATGTTATCGTACACGACGTACAGCTGCACAGGCAGCAGTGCAGCACAGCCCAATAACTTCAACAAACAAACGACATGACCAAACAACACCAAAATTATTTAGGGAGTGTTTGCAACTGCTTCTGCTTAAAGAAAAAGCACTTTTGGAGAAGTAAGGAAAAAGTGATTGGTAGTAAAAGTTGATAGTGTTTGAGAAAAAAGTGATCTTGAAAAGTAAAAGTTGGTAGTGTTTGGTAAAATAAGTGCTTTTTGTGTAATAGAAAAGGGAAAAGCACTTTTCACACGCAAGCCGAGAAAAAATAAAAATTGGTAGTGTTTGGTAAATAAGTGCTTTTTAAAGCCAAAAGCTGAGAAGTGCTTTTTTTTAAGCAGTTGCAAACACTCCCTTAGCATCTACTTCATGACCACTGTGCAAAATAATATCAGGTTTAACCTTAATGGTAACCCTGACAGATATATTTATAATAGAAAGAGTTCAATATTACAATATGAGTTCTACAATAATAAATAATAATAAATCTACTCTATCACACTCCCTCAAGCTGTGCAGGGGAAACAATGCGCATATTGTCACGAAGAAGAGTGAAACGTTGTGGGGACAAACACTTAGTAAAAATATCTGCTAGCTGAGCCTGTGTAGGAACATACTTAATCCGAAGATCACCACGAGCAACTCGTTCACGAACAAAATGGTAGTCAATATTAATATGTTTACTCCTGGCATGCTGGACGAGATTAACAGACAGATATGAAGCAGATACATTATCACAGTACAGAGTAGTCGGAACGCGAACAGGAAATCCCAATTCGAACAACACTGATCGTATGTGAAGAGTATCCTGAACTGTGTAAGCTATGGCTTGGTATTCAGCTTCTGTGGAAGAGCGAGAGACAGTAGGCTGCTTCTGTGTCAGGACATCCAACCCAATCAGCATCAGAATAAGCAATGATCTCGGTAGAGCCACGTGAAGACTGTAAGAGGAGACCATGAGTGGATGTGCCCCAGAGATACCTGAAAATACGCTTAACAGCCAACATATGTGAAGTGCGTGGAGCATGCATAAACTGAGAAACCAGGTGTACAACAAAAGTAATATCTGGTCGAGTCAAAGTCAAATACTGTAATGCACCTACCATACGTCTGTACTCTGTGGCATCATCCAGGAGCTCTCCATCAGTAAGGGAAAGTTTAGTACGACTAGGAAGAGGTTAGCGCACAGGTTTAAAAGTATGTAAATGAAAATGATGAAGAAGATCAAATATATATTTTTGCTGAGATAGAAACAGACCATAAGGAGTACGAGAAACATGAATGCCAAGGAAATAATGTAAATCACTTAAGTCCTTCATGGAAAACATTTATTCAGGAGAGATAAAAAATGAGTAACTAGTTTAAGAGAATTACCTGTAACAATGATATCATCAACATATAGTAGCAGGTAAATAATATCAGAATTACGCCAAAAAATAAATAAAGAATTATCAGACCGTCTGCAAGTAAAACCATGAGAGAGAAGAAAACTACCAAAACGGTTAAACCAAGCACGAGGTGCTTGTTTAAGACCATAAATGACTTTACGAAGCCGACACAGATGGTGGGGAAACTAAGGATGAACAAAACCTGGAGGCTGACGCATATATACTTCCTCGGTCAAATTACCATGAAGAAAAGCATTTTGAACATCAAGTTGGCGAATGGGCCAATCAAAAGACACGGCTAAGGTAAGGACAAGACGAACAGTAGTGAGTTTAACAACATGACTAAATGTTTCAGTAAAGTACCTGCCTGCTGATTAAAGGGGATTCTACTTGAATATTACTAATTTTGAACCAATTACCAAAAAAGTGATCACTTTTAAAAAGGGGCAAAAAAGTGATCAAGAAGGTCATATATATGGATTTAGAAAACATGATGTCACTGTAAAAACTTCATGTCACTGTGTTCGTTTTTTTAACTAAGAGTCGGCACCGTCTAATTTTTTTCACGCCAATTACACCGCCACCATCACTGCCATAGTGACACCGTTATAGTGACGCTGTCATTTTCATGTCACTGTCGCGTGTCACTCGGTATTGCTCATGCCATTGTCGCCGCCGCTGGTCACCGGCCGACCATAGTGACGCCGCTACAGTGATGCTGCCACAGTGACACCCGAAGCCGTGAAACATGTCATTATGACCGCCGAAAAATTTTCCGGCGGCCTTTTCCGGCGACTCACTACGCTGCCGCCCCTGTCACCACCCCCGGTCACTGCCTGCACAACCTCTGTTTTACCCTTGTCCCACTTGCCCTACCTTTCCAGCCCCGCCCCTCTCCCTGAAGTCCTAGCACCGTCCCTAGGCCTACTAGCCTTTCCCATGCCTTGCCGGTCGCCGCCAGCGCCACCTCAGACCCTCAGCCTCAATCCCTTTCAACTCAATTTTGCCCCAACATTGCACCCTGCCCCAACATCACACTATGCCCCCAACTTCAGATATAGGGTTTTGTGGTGATTTGGGAGTTCAATTTTACAATTTGAAAATCTAGTAATCATGGACGATGATGCCGACTACGATAGAGCAGATGCGAAGAAGAAAGACGAACTGGTGCAATGAGAGACGGATCGACTTCTTCATTGCCGCAAGGCAGGTCTGCCGGCGAAGTTAGTTTATTGCCGAGAAGCTCTCTGCGATGGAGATGGCCTGGGGAGATGGTTGCTTGTGGCGGCGGAAACGTGGTGGATGGTCTTCGGCGATGAGCATGGTGGAGCTTCTTCGGTCTTAGAGCGCAGAAGAAAAAGGTGCAGAAGAAAAAAATGGAAACGTGAAATCCGGATCAGTTTTTTGTCTAAGACCATTTCAGTCATATTTTGGTCTAATGAAAGGTGATAGGTAATAATTGTGTCATTATTTTGGCTAACACCGAGAGGCCGTTTGACAACATGTTTTTCGGCTTATGAGACTTATCAACCAACTTTTTCACCAAACACGCAACTTTTACTTTTGCGCGCTGAGTTGTGTAATAAGCAGAAAAAGTAAGGTTGAAGTTATTTTTGTGGCTGGATTGGTTGAAGTTACTATAGATGACCATTTTGGCTATTTGTATATATTTTTTCTTTATTTTATTAATAAAATATATTTTAATATGTTTCCCCTTAAATCAGCAGAATCGGCCAATTCAGCCAGAACTTCATAAATTTCAGCCAAATCAACCAATTTTTTTGCTACCAAACGAGCTGTCAATCTACAACTCAGTTATATCTTCAGCTCGATTCACCGGCCTGACTTAACCTTTGTTACTTCTCCTTTTTGTATTCAAATTGACTTCCATTATTAGAGAATATATTGTGAGGTGTGTATGTGAGCTCCATTCTGTTGCTTCTGTGAGAGTAGAATAAAATACATCAACCTACATATAAAGGTCAAAATATAATAAGAATAAATATGAGAACACTCGTCGTACTTCACATTTTTATTCTGAATTTTTTGGCCAAGTCATATACAACAATTTCCAATACATAGAGTCCTTAGAAGATTTTGAGGTCGTCTAATTAACATGATATCACAAGGATATCTTAACAGATTCAAAGAAGGTACGTGGAAGTTATCTAAAGGTTCCTTGGTTGTTGCAAGAGGCCATATTTGTGGTACTCTGTATAAAACTCATGCAAAGTTGTGTCATCCGAGTCTCAATGCTGTTGAAGAAGAGATATCACCAAACTTGTGGCACCGGAGGTTAGGCCACTTAAGCGTGAAGGGATTGACAACTCTTGCTAGGAAGGAAAGGATTTCCATGGGCAAAGGTGTTGCCTTAGATCCATGCGAGCACTGTCTATTCGGGAAACAACACAGGGTTTCCTTCAGTTCTACCAGGAAGAACCATTCAGAGTTACTCAGTCTTGTACACTCTGATGTATGCGGACCCATTGAAGAGGAGTCACTTGGAGGAAGCAGATATTTCGTGACATTCATTGATGATGCATCACGAAAGGTATGGGCTTATTGTTTGAAGAGTAAGGATCAAGTGTTTGATCGCTTCAGATTATTTCATGCCATAGTAGAAACAGAAACAGGGAAGAAGCTGAAGTGTCTACGTTCAGACAATGGAGGAGAGTACACTTCCCGAGAGTTCTCAGCATATTGCGCCGCATATGGAATCAGACATGAGAAGACGGTTCCACGAACTCCGCAACACAATGGTGTAGCCGAAAGAATGAATCGGACCATTATGGAGAAAGTTCGTTGCATGCTGAGTATGGCTAAACTATCTAAGCCATTCTGGGGTGAAGCTGTGCTGACAGCTTGTTATCTTATAAACAGGTCACCATCTGTTCCTTTAAACTTTGAAGTGCCAGAGAAGAAATGGTCAGGAAGAGATGTTTCTTACTCTCACTTGAAAGTGTTCGGGTGCAAGGCATTTGCACATGTGTCCAAGGAGTTGAGACAGAAGCTTGATCTCAAGTCAAACCCATGCATCTTCATCCGGTATGGTGATGAAGAATTGGGATACCGGTTGTGGGATCCCGAAGTGAAGAAAGTTGTACGATGCAGAGATGTTGTATTTCATGAAAACGAGTTTCATGGGTGTGTTCCAATAATCCGCCAACAACATACTCCAGAAGACGAAGTGCCTGTATCATCAAACATTCCTCTCAGCGACGAGGAGATGCATGATACTGCTGAACAAGAGAGTGATGGTTCAGTAGGTGATGATGATACTCACAGTGATGATATTCCTCAGCAGGGGGAGCCTTCATCTGAAGACGAAGCTGAAGGTACTCATGTTCGACGTTCTACGCGAGGCATAGTTCCACCGAGAAAGTATTCCACATCCGAATGGATACTTGTTAGCGAGGGGGAGCCTGCGAGCATTGCAGGAATGAGAGAAATAAAGAAAAAGGTGGAGGGGGAGATTTGTAGGTATCTTCCACCTTCTTTCTTGGAAGTTGCCAAGAGACATATAACACCTTCTAGGAAGGTGCTATCAAACACATGAACATGGAAGGAGATATGGAGATACTTTGGAAGCTTGGATGCAACTTCCTCTTGTCTCCAAACTAGTCCTATAAATAGAGTGCTCCATTGTTGTTCATTGTATCAGTTTAGAAAGTGAGAAAAGTGTGTGAAGAGTGAAAATACACTTAGAGTAGAAGTGTATTGGTGAGGATTGTTTTTTTGTAATAGTTGAGTGTGAGAGTTTGCTCCTCCTATTGTAATTCTGTTCTTGATATTGAATAGAAGAATTTTCCAATCCCAACATTAAGGTGGTGGTGGTGGTGTGGTTATTAAGAAAAGTGGGGTTACCGGGTTATGCGGTTGATATTAAATTGATAAAGTAAGAATGATTTAGAATCACACAAATTTTACCAAATTTGGTATGGGACAATCTTAGACTCTTACTGGGACGGTGGAAGTACTATTTTCAAGGATTATAACCCATTTAGTGGAAAAAAAACTATGTTGTAAAAACTGGACCAGGAAGTGACCCGGATCGGGTCACAGGTCAACCCGATCAACTTTTATATAAAATTTTATTTTATAGTAATAAACAATTTTTTTGAAGAGAGTAATAAACATATATTAATATATTAATAAAGTTAAACATATTTATGCTTCACTATGATAAATAAATACTCCCTCCGGTTCTAAATAAACTTCACACTTTCCTTTTTGGGACGGTCCAAAATAAACTTCATACTTCCTTATTTCCTTATTTGGCAAAGAAATATACATCAAAACAGTGTTAAACAGTGCTAAACAGTGCCAAACAGTGTCTCAACAGTGCCAAACAGTGTCTCAACAGTGTCAAACAGTGTCTCAACAGTGTACTCTACAGTAAAGTCAACTTTATTTCCTTAATAACTGTGAAGTCAAACACTGAAGTTTAAAAAGAACCGGAGGGAGTAATATATAGTAAGGATTTTTTATATATTCAAAAATGTTATTTGATACTCCCTCCGTCCCCTTTAAAATGTCCCGTTTTACCATATTGGGATGTCCCTATTTAATTGTCTCAAACCTTATTTGGTAAAGTTTGTGTGGCTCAAAATCATTCTTACTTTATTTTTACTTTATCAATTAATATCAACCACACAAACCGACTTTTCTTAAAACTCGTGTCACCCTCTTCCGGGACATTTAAAAGGGGACGGAGGGAGTATTTGTTTTAATTTTAAAATATTTTGAATATTTCAATAGTGTTGAATAAGAATACTTAAGCATTTTTTAATATTTAATATTCAAATATATTCACACATTCATGATTCATCATATCTAAAATATAGTTTTAGGCCTATTTAAATCAATAATATTATTTGATATTTATTATGTACATCTATAAAATATTTACATACGATTTTCTCTCCACAGTAAATATTTAAATACATCGCATATTTTTTTCAATTTTTTTTTTTGAAAAACTGCACTTATTATAAAATCTCAAAGGTATTTTCTAAGCAGTTTAACTTATATTTGAACGTTATATACATAAACGGATATGAAAGGTATAATTACAGTTAAGTGACTCCCCATGACAACCAGTTTCAGTGGTGATTTGGAATGCCTCTTGAAATTTATCTCGGTACGCAAGGGTTTGATTCCCAGCCAAGACAGAATTTTAAATTGCCTTACTTCCGGATTCTTCTGGATTGTGCTTGGGTCCGAACGGGCTGTCGTTTTTTCCAGTTTTTGATATATTTACAAGTCAATGGGTAACCGGACCGGGTAAGGTACCGGTTCCCAATTTCGGGGCCGACTCGCCCGGTCTGGTCTGGTTTCTTAAACATGGGAAAAAAGGTACTTATTCAGAATAAATGAATTAAGCAGTTATTGAATTACATATTGGGCTGAAACGAATGTTACCAAACACTTTTCTTTTCAAAAAATTCAACAAATTCTGCCATTTCAGTTTAACTACAACCAAATGGGATCTTAGCTTTTAGGGGTAAATTAAGATCAGAAGTCAAGCCATTTTGCAATATGTCTCGTTAAATAAAGGAGAAAGTAAACAAATGAAAAGCATTAACAGAACTCTTACATCAAGGCCAGCTCTCCGAAGGATGATAGCTTCTCAGCGGTGTATATCTGTGGAACCCTTTGTGTTCCTCCGGGGTTTTCCACCTAAAATTAATATCACCGGATTACAGAAAAGTTGACCCAAGAGGCCAAGACTACAAGCTATTTATGACCTCAGATTCCTTTGCAAATGTAACGATATGTTTATTTATGACCTCGGATTCCTTTGCAAATGGAACAATGTTAATGAAACCACAAGGGCGAAAAAATGAGTAATCACCTCTGTTTCCAGGACCTCAAATTCTCCACTTCCAACTACATAAAACGAATCACATTCAACACCCTGCAAGTAAAGAAATTTATTTAAACAGTTGCTAGAGCTCTTTAAAGAGAATATCATGCAACATACCCCTATATTATGATGAGGGAAATATAGTCTAAAGTCTAAACATAAATGTGACTATAATTCTGCGATAATCAAAACAGTTTGTATGTAGCATGAGAGAATCATGACAGCGAAAGCATTGCTTGATCCACAGGGACAGTTAATAATGATCTTAACATATGATACGGGATAAGGGTCAGTTTGGTCCTCGAAGTTGCAAAAAAGGGGTCAAATAAGTCCTTATATAGAAAATTTTGACTGGACGTGCCATTTGAGGTGGCTCCCGGTGGAATTTTTTGATGAAATTTTTGGAGCATCTTATTCATTAAGTCTAGTTTACTCATACCAAATTTCAAATAAAAATTCAAACGGGAAGACATTCAAATGAATTATTGAAGATAACTGTGCCGTTAAAAGCGCAGTTATCTTCAAGAATTCATTTGAATGTCTCCCCGATTGAATTGTTAGCTGAAATTTGGTATGAGTAAACTAGACTTAATGAATAAAATGCTCAAAAAAATTCATCAAAAAATTCTATCGGGAGCCACCTCAAATGGCACGTCCGGACAAAATCTTCTGTATAAGGACTTATTTGACCCCTTTTTTGCAACTTCGAGGACCAAACTGACCCTTTACTCCAATGAAAAGGGAAAAGAAAGATAAGAACGATAAAAAAGGGAAGCTATGATAAAAAAAAAGATAATATAAAAAGAGATATGATACACATAAGCTCATAGAAGCTCATAGAAGTTTATAAAAACCACACGGTCAGACTCTTTATAGCATCAAGCAGCCAAGTAATTAGCCACCTTATTGGATTTCTTGTAAGTTCTCACATAAGGTAATAGGAAATTAGCCACATGTATGAATAAATGGAGTTTTTTTACCAAAATAAGGCTAAAGCAAAAACTATTTACCACCAAATTAGTGTTTGGTTAAAAACATTTACAAAACTACCGCTCCTTAGAACCATACTTAAACAAAAACGCCATGCACCTTTGGTTCAATTGAAAGCTGCCGTTCGTAAGGACCAAGGAAGAGAAGGCAAGTGGGACCCATATTTAGAAAAAAAAAACATCTTTATTCCTTAAATGGTTATAACATTTTTATTTTTTGTTTAACATTTATAAAAAAAATACCAAAATTCATAATTTTTTATTATCTATCATATAACATCAATATTGAATACATAAAAATTAAAAAATAATTTAGCAATTTAATAAAATCTATTTTTAAAGTGGTATACTCTGTAATTTTTTTATTTGTACTCCGATTGTTTTAAAAAATATATCAAAATTCATATTTTTTTATTATATTTCACAAGACACTGATACTTCATAGGCAAACATAGAAATATAATTTAGCACATTAAAAAATCCGTTTTTAGAGTATTAAACTCTGTACGTTTTTTTACACTCCGATAGTCTTTAAAAATATTAAAATTCATAAGTTCTTATTACTTTTAATGTGCCACTAATCTTTCATATATAAATACATAATTTGGCACTATAAAAATCCTAAAATTTTAAAGTGCAATAACTTTTTAATTTGTAGTCTAATTGTTACAAATAACATATCAAAATTCATAACTTTAGGGGTGAGCATTAGACACTATGAGATGATTATTTTAAAAAAGATTGTCTCGTTCCAAAGTACGATTCTTTTAAAAATTAAAGAACCGGTACCGTCTCGAATATAGATAGTATGTACGTAGTATAACATGTCCCGTCCCGTACCAATTTTCGGTATGAATGGATACGCTTCTTAAGTATCATTCCGTTCCATTTTGGTTGTCTTACTTTTCTTTTTGGGTTGTTCTAAAATGAATGTCATTTTTCTCTTTTGGAAAGAAATTTATGGTCCATATCATTTCATCGTATTCTACTCAAATCTTAACCACAACTTTTACCTTTTAACCACTTTCTT